AGTCAATACAGTGGTCAGGATAATTTCAATTTTCAACAGTCCCTGGTTGCTGGGCTGCAGTCCGGACTACCGAAAACACTGCACACAATGTTCATGACTTCCATCAACTTGTATCTCAAACTTCTACTGATAGACTACCAGACTCGTTTAATCGATCACGGAAGAGATACCCGTTTTGTTTAGGCATAGCGCTGGGTTGTCACACCTAATTAGTTTTATCAATTGTGTGCCGCGTTTCCATCATCGTGTCGGTTAATGACCCCTGACATTCGTAACCTGATATTCGTAAACAGTATTCTTGAATGTGATGAGCAATGCAGCCACAAATAAGTCAATACAGCTGAATCGTACAGGTGCATACTATGAGCGCCACCATGGGTTTTCTCTTGTCGACGTAACTTAAGTATGCATGGCTACAAATCGGGACAATGTTAAATGCACTTATCATGGTTGTGTCGTGAATACAGCCGGGCAAAAAACTACATGGATACGGTTCACCGAGAATTTCTGCTATAAAATAGTATTTCAGTATGAATTTCTTGGAGTCTCAACTAAATCTCCCCAGCGTTGAAGCTTTTCTCTCACATCTTTGGTACAGCTATCATTCAGAATGGATACTCCAGTGGCAAATACCTCTTCCTTCACCCCTACCTACACGGTGGCATCTCCTCACCTCTATCCTCGCCCGCCAATGTCCTCTCACATCTCTGACTTCCACCTTACCCTTCTACTTCCTGTCTTGACATACTGGCTCACTGCTCTTTTCTGGTCTATCGTCTCATATTATAATATCTGGTCTAGCTACCGTATTCATACACCGGCCGAAATCGAAAGTCGCAACCGTGTCACGATTCCTCAAGTACTGCGCTCTATCCTCGGACAGCAGCTATTCCAGACGGCATGGGGATTGTTCTTGGGCTACTGTGTTCTTGGCACTCAAGAGATGGTAGGATCAGAGGATTATGACATTGCTATGTGGGCTGAGAGGGTTGTGAAAGGATATTCCTGGATACAGTGGGGCTTGAGGATGAGTATGATGGGCTTAGGATTGGATCTTGCGAATTCCAAAGGGTCTTTGCATCTTCCGGTTCGTGTTAATATCACCACTTCTGTAAGTTGATTCACCCGGCTTTAGTATCTTCGTCAAAGACTAATGTGTGCAAAGGATGGAAGAATCATTGCATGGGAGATAGTAGTCGCGCAAGTGATATATAGGCTTCTTGCACCCGCAGCTCGATTCGCGATTTGCATCTTCATCAGCGACGCATGGCAATATTTCGGACATCGTGCCTTTCATGAAAATAGATGGTTATACCGTATGTATCATGGTTTTATCTCTCAGCAATCTTTTCCAAATTGCTAATCCGTTCCGGCTCATCAGGAAATATTCACTCCCTACACCATCGCGTTAATGCACCTTACGCATTCGCCGCATTTTACAATACTCTTACCGAATCATTTATCATGGATACCTGTGGTATCAGCGTCGCGTTTTACTTTTCCGGACTTCACATGCGTGAGGCTTTAGTCTTCTCTGTCATCAGCGTATTGAAAGGCGTCGATGATCACTGTGGATACAGACTCCCATGGGATCCTATCCAATGGTTGGGCGAACAAGATACTTCGTTTCATGACATCCATCACCAGACTTGGGGTGCTACCGTAAGTTGCTGATTGTCCCCTGGAACTTCTTCGATGATGAACTGGGCTTAGACTTGGAAAATTAAAACTGACTATTTATTTAATGAATAGACAAATTACTCGCAGGTTTACACAACATTCTGGGATCATGTTTTGGGAACGATTTCTAGAAAGACTCCGGAGGAGATAGAGGAGCTTTACAAGAAGGGAAGAGAGAATGCGGAAAAGGCTAAGAAAGTCAATTAAGCTTTACGGATAGAGCGGACTGGTGTAGAATTGGTTTAAACAGCCGATGTTGGTGAGATGGTGCTTGAGGATTGAGGGTGGAAAAAGTTGATGGTATGCATATGAAGTCGATGGATGTTTGAGTGGATAATTTTCCTCGTGTTTAATTTATGGTGATATTCTATATTTCAAGATTTTGTGTACCAAATATGGCTTATGGAATACTTCTCTCTTGCATTGTTCAGCTTAGTTCGTCAAAAGCAGAATGAAAATCTTGTTAATCATACTACTCTAATCTTGATTGCCCTCCAATATATCATCAGAATGATTGGTTCGGTCGTTCAAATGCTTGTTCTTATCTTGTGTGCGCCGTACGTGTTACAGTGATTTGTAGGTAGCTGAAGCCGGATTTTGAAACTACTGGTATGTATTGAATCTCTCAATACTATCACCAAAAATGATGTATTGCGAAGAAACGATTGTTGGGAACGAGGGGGGTTAATGAGACATGGCGTTGCCACATTCCCACTTGTGTTCTAATGGATTTTGTGTTAGATTAAGGGTACAGTTCACAAGTACACATATTTTGCCTGTCTCACTCTGTAACCTGTAGTATACTTGCACAAGTACCGACAGTGTGGATGTGAAGTACAACATTGTTTACACAACAGACGTGTTCTTAATTACATAACGAAATTACAGTTTGTTACTTTTTGTGTTTCTCGCACAGAGCTAGACATTAAAGGAAAACTTAGATACATATATGCAACGAACAACGAAAACAAACCACAGAGAGATGCGTATTGTAGATGAATCAAGTTGTAAAGAAAAAGATAGGAAATTTACATTTATAAATCAAGTTGTTTGACACATTGACGTTGCCAAATTTTCACCAAAGAAAATGGTTGCTATTTTCAGTCTATGCCAGGCTCATAGTTCCAACTTTCTACTCTTCTTTAAAAAGATAGCCTCCAGTGAAAAACAGCTGTTGTAAAATTAGTGAAATTTTCTGAAATGGAAGAGAAGAAATGCACGTACACATGGAATTGCCCCAGTTAGTGAAAAAATGCCCATAGCTAAAGTCATAGCCTTCCAGCCAAATTGTGTAATCAAGGCACCGGCAAATACTGGACCGAATATGGTAGCGGCAGCCATGGAACAGTTGAAAAGAGCGTACGCCTGAGCATAAGCCCCGCCAGGACCAAATTTGCCTGGATTTGCGATCTCGATTTCTCCAACTACTAGAGACAAATCGGCGGCCACAGGTGCTACGATAAGAATAAGAGTACACCCTAGAGATCCAGATTTAGTAGGCGAACATTAAACTATTGTGGGAAGATAAGAGTTGAATGTTTCATACCGCAGATAAACAATAGAACGCACAACAGGACCTTTTGCTCATCTGTATCATTATCAACAAGTCGCAGAAGAATCAATGGCAGTGCTGTGAGAGTACATCCAGCAACAGCGATCCAACGGGGGCCCAGACGATCAGATAATGCACCGACCAGTGGACCTCCAAGTCCTGGGATAGCTATGCACAAAAATATGAGACCGGCGGCAAGAGAACTCCAATGAAAGGTCTCTTTGACAAACAATGCGAGAACGCTGTCAAAAGTTGCGAGAATAGAAACGTTAACAAAGATACCGTATATGGCGGCAACAACTCGTGGTGAAGCGAGTAAGGTAATGACCGGTGGAAGACTCCAACCCTTAGAGTCTTGCTTTCCATTCTGCTTTCTATGAGGGAGTAGAGCGCTAGATTCGTCATAGTTAGGTATCCCAAATCCAGGAGGGGTGGAATTCGCAGTGTTGGAAGAATGTTCCCAACTATCAACACTCTCCGAAGTGTTACTTTGAACCTCATGCTCTGTAGTAGAGGTGTGAAAGGTTCCGTTGCCTTGCACTGTTGGAACTTTGACACTCTTGCCGAGATATTTTTCGGCTGTTCGTTTTTCGATCATAAACATACGCAGTATGATATCGATAACGATGAGTCCAGCAGCCATACCAAACACAGCCATATAGCCAGCCTTGTCATAAACAATACCTCCAAGCAGAGGGCTGATTATGAGGCCGACACTGGAACAAGACAAAGCTGTGCCCATCCACTGTCCAATATTTTCACTTCCAACAGTGTCAACTAACAGAGCGAGTCCAACAGTATATACGATAGCAGCCGAGAATCCTTGGAACATTCTACTAACGACAAGAAGCCATGCCTTCTTTGCAAACCCAAATAGTAGAGTTGCAGCCGCGAGGATGAATAAGCCAGCAAAGTAGGTTATAGATCTATCGGCAGTATGGTCCGCGAGCCATCCACAAATTGGAGATCCGACTACGATAGCAGCACCGAAGACTGCGAATATGAAAGAAGTCCACCATTGCACTATTTTCAATCAGCGAATGGTCAAGTCTTGACGTTTCCTCACATACCTTCCTCTTCCGGCACACCAGATCGTTCTTGTAGACTGAATGGAAGAACGGGAACTACCTATTCATTGTCAGTACAACTTAGTATAGATTTGGCCACTCATCTTGTGGCATTATCTATATGAACGGTATAAACGATGAAATGGGGTGCCTACAACACCATAGAGGAAAGCATCCTAGGTCACGTTAGATATCAAAGACAGTACGGATCATCATTTGACAAGCTTACTGTGAATATGGCACAGCACACTGTAGTAAGAATAAACCAGTCAGAGGATCGATATTCAAGAAGCCATGGAACCTTCTGAGGCTTTGAGCTTGCACTCTCGATATCGGCTGTCATCTTCAATATTTTCCGGTTGTTTGATAATTTGATTCAGTATGAACAAATACAGAGACAAGTTTTCGAATTCGAAAGTTGGCATCAAATTTTTCACAAGTAGAAATAGACACGTATTCGCCAAACTTACATCATCTTCTCTATTCCCAAACAGATCACATTTTATTGCCAGGCCAATCATCTTGATTGCAGGCTCACGCCGAGGCTTCTGCCACTTAGCCCCCCCCTCCATTGCACTTTTTCAGCTTGCCCACTACTTCGGGTTGATGATTTAACGAAGTATATTATCATGAGACACTTGTCATCACTAAGCGAAATCTGGCACAACCTTCTGATCCATTTGTGTGGTCGGCGATAAAACCTATGGCTTGGTTTGATGAACGATCTGCGGCTTCGCTGGGTTAAATGCAGGCGAGATTTTCTGGGACTTGCATACGATACTGCTCACAACACCAAATAAACACAGCAAGTACAACAGAAAGGGCCGAAGTGCTACCATACTAGCTTTGTGCAACCAGTCAAGTGGCGTACATGAGCCGCTTGGCACAAGTGACCAATGTGGGAACGCCGACATATTCAATATTCCATTTACAGTGTTGATACAGTACCACCATTTCTTGCTAGCTATATACACAGTCACAATTCCATGATTGTCGAGTATCGCCCGTGAACATTACCTAAACCAAAGTTCTCAAGCCATTAAGATGGGGGAACCAACGATCAACTCTGACATCACTTTCAAAGGATGGATGGGGCTTGACAAGAACGCTTTAATTGATGGGTTGAAGTTAGCTCCATTCGAGCCTAAGAAATGGGAAGAGACCGACATAGATGTCAAGATTACTCACTGCGGTCTCTGCGCAAGTGATTTGCATACTTTACGAAGTGGATGGGTAAGAAATTCTATACCTTGATTGATCTAGTCTGATATTTTCTCGAGTAGTGGCCTACCAATTATCCTTGTTGTGCCGGCCATGAAATTGTTGGAGAAGTAACCCGTGTCGGGAAAGCTGTTGAGCGAAACATTGCGTTAGTACATCCTATAAACTGGTAGAAATTATGTCTGTCTGACAGGGAACAGTATTGGTGATAGAGTGGGAATTGGCCCAATCATTTACGTTTGCGCCCAGAAAGATTGTACAGAGTGTAGCTCAGGTATGCCTAACTACTGTCCACGGAAAGTTGCTGCGTATGAAGGTTTTCTTCCTGATGGTAGCAAGACTTTCGGTGGTTTTGCAAATTACTGTAGAGTTCCAGGCATTGCCGCCATCCGTATTCCTCAAGCGCTAAGTAGCGCTGTGGCAGCTCCATTGCTCTGCGCCGGTAGTACCACGTTTGGTCCACTAGTGGAACGTCAAGGAAAAGGAAAGCGAGTGGGGATAATTGGTGTTGGAGGTTTGGGTCATTTTGCTGTCATGTTCGCAAGGGCATTGGAATTTGAGCATGTTGTTGCGATTTCACGACGAGAGAGCAAACGCGATGATGCCATCAAGCTGGGTGCACATAACTACATAGCTACCGAAGACGAGCAGGATTGGGCAGAGAAGTATGCAAAGTCACTTGATGTGATTATTTGTACAGTATCATCCGCTGAGATGCCACTGAATAAATATCTGGGGCTGCTCAGGACGGGAGGACATTTCTGTCAAGTTGGTTTGCCAGACGACTCCCTGCCGGCGTTTGACATATTTGGACTGGTCGAACGAAATATCTCGATTCATTTCAATGATATACTCTCAATCAAGGGAACAGAAGACTTGTTAGAGTTTGTATTGAGAGAAAACCTTCAGCCATTGGTTGAAGAACGAAAAATGAGTGATATAAACAACGTTTTGAAGGAGATGGAAGCTGGAAAAGCGAGGTATCGATACGTATTGGTGAATAATGATTGAGCCAACTCAAAGGGTAGGCTCGATTAGATGGAATAACTTTCAGAATAATTCAGAAATTCAGATCAATTGAACATTTAGAAAAGTTTCAATACGTGAAAACCGATCAGTAGAAAGCGTGAAGTTGTAGTACCAGCTTCACCGCCTTGTTCTGCCACTCAGTCAAGGTAAATCACGTGCACTTATCAAAATCTCCCCAAGATCACAAACCACTCCTTTCAATTTTTCCACATCGATTGATAACACTTCGGAACTTCTTCAACCCACTTAAATCAAGCCAAGGGAAAAGAAAAGAAAATATTGATGACCGTCACTATGATCATTGAAACAAACAAAGCCTAATTCCTTGCCTGAGCTCCCAATCCCTCAGCAGCTTCTTTGCACTTAATCAGAGCACCTGCAACAACAGCTCTCACGTTTCCCTGTTCAAGCGCTAGTACGCCCCTGATCGTTGAACCACCTGGAGTGGTAATATTCTCCTTCACAGAAGCTGGATGTTCTCCCGCCAACACCAACGCTGCACATCCTTTCATGGACTGTGCTGCCATGAGCGTAGCATCCTTTCTCGTCAGACCGAGTGCAACAGCGCCATCAATCAATGCGTCGAGGATAATTGCAAAGAATGCCGGAGTCGACGCACCCAATGCTGTACATGTATCGAAATTAGCAGCAGAGATATGCTTAACTTTTCCAATTGATTCAAATAGCCAATCGATCGCAAGTAGATGGCTAGCTGAAGTTGCTTCCGGGGTTTCGATGACGGTGATGGATTCGCGGACAAAGGAGGCAGTATTTGGCATTGCCCGAGCAATTGTAGCAGGATAATAACTCTTACCCCCTACAGATTGGAGTACGGAGTCGATATCCGGAATCGTAACACCCGCAAGTAGGCTAACGAGGACTTTGCCCTGTAATTGTGATCGGATAATGGTGGTGGCCAGACAACTTCGTAAGTCTCCGGGCTGACAAGCCAATACTATGACATCGGCTTCGTGAAGAGGAGCGCGCTGGTCGCCATGGTAGATGGTTACCTCTGTGTCGTAAGCTGCAAGAGAGAGTTCCAATCGTGCAGCAGAAGCAACAGTGCGGACACAAGCCATGAAGTTATTTGGTACATGGGGTTGGTTTGATACCGGACAAGCTGAGTTGGCTTTCTTGCTCTCTTCAATGTGCGTCAGTATCCCGCACAATAGCGCAGTTCCGAGGCTTCCTAAAAGAAGTTAACTCTTGATTTCAATCTCAACGCCAGTGGCTTTTTTAGAGGAGATCTGTACCACATCCTAGGATTGCTAGTGTCATCGATGCACCAGTCTCATTTGGAGGAGTCTCGTTCGGGGTATTCTGTGATTCGGACATTTCTGAAGAATACTTTCAGAACTCAAAAAATTGATCAAGGTGCTCCCGTGTAAATTCGGAAATCTCGTTCCTAAATACCTTTATTGTGCTTCGTGTCCCATTGAATTTAACCTTGCAGCTCATGTACCAGTCACTCAATTGGTACAAACCCTTGGACTCGAATAGAGAAATGAGCATTTTATTAGTTTTAAATTGCTAGTGGTACGAGAGGAGCATGCGAGAATGATACCATAACTGCAGACATTGATGGGATACTTCTGCAAAACACCTTATTCTACATATTGTATTGGCTCTAATACTAAATGCTGTGCAAGTGCTCCGTCGTTGCCAATTTACACGATGACTTTTATCCGCAAAAATTCGGGCTGGTATGTAGTACAAAGGTTTAAGATGCAGCCGAAAGCCGAATGTGGCATGTAGTACACAAGGTGGCTGGCTACCCGTATCACGATATATCTACGCGTTGCCGAAAAGCCTCGATTTTAATTCCCTACAATTTCACAAATTTTGTAGCGGAGCATTGTGCTTGTTTCACGCGTCTTGTTCGACTTGAACATGTCCCGGCAGTAATCTATGACAGCAACGCGGAAGTACTAGTGGCTTGTACCTTGTGCAGATCAAACGCCTTCGAGTCTAGTACTTTTCAACCCGAAGCTAGGAATCTTTACGCGTTTCTAGCTTTACTCAAATATCTTAATAAATCCATTAGTTTGAATATAGGGATTCTAAAAATAAAGCATCTCTCAAGTAATTACTATCTCCTCATTATCAACCCAGCAATTCCACGAACAGAACACGAACATTACATGCCCCGACAAGCTCTAGATTAGCGGGCTCGTCTATCTTTCCGAGTTCGATCCACAGTACCTCCACCTATCTATCGTTAGCTGAGTCCGCGTCAAGCCGGCGTAGTCGTGACGTAACTCTTTTATCCTGCCACAGGAATTTATACCCCGGTACATGGAACACGATATGATGCATTCCGGAAAGCAGAAAAGCTTGAGGAAATATCGGGAAATAGACAGACGTATGAGAGCTAGCTATCTAGCCAAAATGACACATACATACACGCATACACTGCTCTAGAATTTTACACATACATATAACATATACACATACATAAGCACATGCATAACACAAGCGAAGAAACCACAACATCAACCATCCACACCTCAATCGATCTCATTCCCGTTCCTAAAATCGACTCTTCACTAGTCTCAGATCGACGGGTTCTCTCGCTACACCTATCCTGCATCTACTCAGATATCCAACCCCATATCCAAATCCAATTTAAACATTCCCATTCCGTGAAACGAGGGGTTTATCAACCCTCACACCCACCCACCCGTTCACACGCCGCTGCAAATTTAATCAAAAGGAGAATCAGGACGTAGCAAATTGTCGATACATTTACTAAAAACTCCCGTTCCTGCAACCATAACCAACCCATCAGCAATCTCAGCTCAACGGGTCCTATAGCGAGCTTCCGTGAAACGAGGAACTTATTGAACCTCCCCCTCCCCCCCATGTACACCCACTCACTCGTCAACTCACCACTGCAGCCGTAACCAAAAGGAGAATAAAAACACAGCAAATTACCGATACATCCGCTCACTAGCGTGCAGATGAGCAAATAATTTCCAATGCCGTGCGTGATTCGCAAAAAGCTGATCTAGGTGTTTTTCGCCGCCGGATATATTCATATTCATATCAATTACCTACCCAGATACCTATGTAATTACCAAAACTTCGCAGTCGTGGAATAATATCATATATCCCAATCCCAGTAGGTAATTAGATTAAACACCAAATACTACCTACCCATTCAGGAATTCTCAATACCCAAAAATAACGTCACGCAAATAGTCAAAGATAATCGAAGAAATCACTCCTATCTTGTCGTATGGCTATTTAAATAAAAATACAAATACAAATAAAAGATACAGTATCTGAAACACCACGCGTAACAGTGCACGAAGGAGGGTACAAAGCAAGAGAAAGGAAGAAAGAAAGAAAGAGAGAAAAAAGCTGCCGTCGTTAGATGAATCGGAAGGAAGGAAATAATTTGGTGATCGGTATTTCATCTTACTTCAGATCTCGGGATAATATTGTGTATGTTGTATGTGTATGTATGTGTATGTAGGTATCAGCTGTATCTCACCAAGCCATCTACGGTTCCCGCCGAGGATAGATGTACTTCGAACTTGCAAACTCTACTATGTACGTATAAAATCCAACAAAACCCTATTCTATTCCACGAGAGAAAAGAGAAAGAAGTCAAAACGAATCGTGCAACTCCTTCCACTTCCCTCATCATATTCAAAGTCATACTCACCGTCCCAAATCCCCGCGTGAGATATCAGTGCCACCCAAATCCTCACGAAATGTCCGATCCAACGAGTTTGCAACCGCAAGCTTGTTTCTTTCCCATCCTCGATTTGACGCTCGATCCATCGGCAGAGAGATATTGGCAAGCGGTCGAGGTCCCCGTTCCAAATATTGCTCAGTTGGATCGGTTTTGTAAAAAACATGAAGTGGCCCCGTTGACTTTTTTCAAACTTGCGTGGGCGCTTGTACTTCAATGCTACACTGGGAGTAGCTCTGCGGCTTTTGGACTCTTGGAGCTGCCGATGTCAGATACAAGAATGAATCTGGAGTTAACATGTGGAATCGGTAGCATCAGCGATTTTCACGTCGAGCTTGAGGGGGCTGGTTGCATTACTGAGGTTCTACGAGTAATTCAAGCAATTTCCTCGCAAGATGGAGATCCTCAATCTACACTTCTTTCTGGCGGTGACAAAAGTACAAGTACGGGGCTGTACAATACTGCTTTGCAGCTCGAAGAATCGAAAACTTCGACAAACTTCAATTCCGTTCCAAAGAACCGGATATCCCCAGACAGCTATGTAAGTACAAAAAGATATGCGACTAGATTTCATGACTAATTCGAGATGCAGATTGAGATACTACTCGACATAAAGCTCGATGGTAGTACTGCCACTGGGCATGTGTATCTACAGCACCTCCCGGCGAAATTATCCACCATTGCAGCAACAAATGTGGCCCATACCTGTGCGAAAGCGATTCAATGTATGCTGAGCGACCCATTCCAACCAATAGAGAGTATCGATCTTCTTACGAAACGAGACTTGGAACAACTACGAGGATGGGAAGCTCAACTTCCCGAAAGAGTAGATGCATGTGTACATGATCTTGTGCTGCGGCACGTAATATCAACGCCAAATGCTCCTGCAATATGTTCCTGGGATGGACAATTGACCTACGACGAGTTGGAGAAAGCAACGTCTATTTTGGCATGTCATTTGATTGATCATGGTGTCGGACCAGAGGTTCTGGTGCCAATTTGCTTTGAAAAGTCTGTATATGCGATACTGACCATGCTTGCAATTTTGAGGGTTGGTGGAGCATTTGTTCCATTAGATCCATCACAGCCTAGAGAGCGACATGAAGCTATTATGAAGAAAGCGAACGCAAAGATGGTCATTTCATCGCCGCAAACCGCGCATAAATTCAGCGGGATCGCAATACGAAATATAAACGTCTCAGAAGGTCTAATGGCAACACTACATGTATCTCTTAAAGATCGCTTGCCAATAAAGGTCAAAACATATAGCACAGCTTTTGTTCTGTTTACTTCAGGAAGCACGGGCGAGCCCAAAGGAATTGTTCAAGAACATGGCTCCGTCTGCACAGCCTCGCTTTTTCACGGTAAAGCCTTTGGGTGGAACTCCAAGTCTCGTGTATTCCAATATGCTGCATATACCTTCGACGTAAGTATGATGGATATCTTCACTACACTCATGTTCGGAGGATGTGTATGCAGTCCTTCTGAAGATGACCGCCAGAGCAATATCGTCGGTATCATGAACACTATGCAGGTAAATTGGGTGCTCTTTACCCCATCTTTAGCAAATTTGATCTCTCCTGAAGATGTGCCTTGTCTTGAAATTATGGCACTTGGCGGCGAGGCAGTAACACAGGAAAATATAAGCAGATGGTCCAATGATGTCGCTCTGTATAATTGTTATGGGTGTGCAGAAGCTTCCCCCACAGCATTTATTCAACTGCGTTCGAACAATAGAGGCTCGAATCTTGGAAAACCGTTTGGGCAGGCATTGTATTGGCTGGTAGATCCAAAGAACCACAACCGCATAGTTCCAATTGGTGCGGTAGGAGAATTGCTTGTTGAAGGACCCACTCTCGCTCGTGGTTATATCGGTGACATGGACAAAACAAAAGCTGCATTTATCAAAGATCCAAAGTGGCCATCAGAACTTATAGGGACGAGAGCCCGACGTTTCTACAAGACGGGAGATCTTGTACGGTACACTTCCGACGGATCCCTAGATTGGGTTGGGAGAAAAGACTTCCAAGTGAAAGTTCGAGGACAACGAGTTGAACTTTCAGAGGTTGAATACAATATCTCAGCTTATCCCAACGTTACTCTAGCCATGGCCACAAGTCCTAAGATTGGAGCTTTCGCAAAATCTCTCGTGGCAATAATTCAAATCGATGCGAGTTTAGAGCCGACTTCGGCTATGAATGTTCTCTCCTCGGTTAGCAACCACCGATTGTCTGCAGCGGGTTTCAGCATTGCCGATCTTGATCAATTTTTGAGGAATAAATTACCGAATTACATGGTGCCAAGTCATTGGTTTGCTGTTGAAAAAGTACCGCTTTCTGTTTCAGGAAAGATTGATCGAAAGTCAGTAGAACATTGGCTTTCACAACTGAATCGTGATTCTGCAAATCCAATCCTTACCAATGGCCTTTCCAACGGTCATGCCAACGGAGTCATCAATGGCCATAACAACGGCCAGAACGGCACTTCCATATCCAAAGAAAACATAGTCGGTTTCAAGATATCCAGAAAACTCGCCTCGCTCGTTTACCACACAGACAGCCAGGCCAAATCGAAGCTGATTGACCAGGACATTACTTTGGCAACAATTGGTCTTGATTCTATTCAAGTCATCAGTTTGTTGATGTTCATCAAGCAAGAATTTGCAGTCAAGCTTCACATCAGCGTGTTGCTGCATCCGAAGGCAACAATTCGTAGTGTTACGCAACATATTGAGGACCTCAGAACAGTGGGTGTTAGTCAAAGTATCGAAAAGTCTGTTGATTTAAGAACAGAATTTCAGATGTATAAACAGCAGATGGATACAAATCGGTGGGGAAGAGATCCATCGATACAAAACGTTTTCTTGACAGGGGGAACAGGATTCCTCGGATCTGAAATGCTGCACCAGCTCTGCACTCGCAAGGATATCAAGAAAATAATGGTACACGTTCGTGCGAAAAACTTAAAGGATGGCCTGCAACGGATTAGAAAGGCAGCAATGCAAGCAGAATGGTGGTCAGATTCGTATCTCGAGAAAATAGAAGTATGGCCTGGAGATCTTGGAAAACGTCGCCTAGGTTTGAACTCGGACCAATGGGACTGCCTAACCGGAAAGTCAGATATTTCTCGACAAGTACATGGCATTATTCACTGTGGTGCCAAGGTGCACTGGAACTGCGACTTTTCGTCTTTAAAAGCAGCAAATGTTGACTCAACTTGGATCCTCTTGAATATTATGAACGAAACACCATCCATCTTAAAGTTCGTATTTATATCCGGAGGGTACAATGGGCCATCGTTAGCAGAGAAGTATCTTTACATGGACGACGACCACATCAATGACATTCTCCCTACTGAATACGCGAAAACAAAATTCATCTCACAGCGCCTCGTGCAAGAGTACTCACAGACCAGTATTCAGAATCGCAGTCGGGTCTTTGTTGTAAAACCTAGTTACACCATTGGTACTCCTAAGCTGGGTATTGCCAATACCAGTGACTTTATCTGGAGACTTGTTGCAAGTTGCATAGAAATCGGGAGTTTCAATGAAGCAGACGCCGATTCCTGGCTTTTCATTTCTGATGTCGGTAACGTGGCCAAAATTGTGTTAGATTGCTGTGATACAAAACAGAGCGTTTCTTCCGATCCGTATATTGGAATGAGTGAAGGTCTACCCGTTCGTGAGTTTTGGTCTATTCTGGAAAGAAATTTTGGTTACAAAATCAAACCATTGAGACAGGCTAAATGGCTGGATGCTGTTTACGCCGACATTGACTCTAAGCATGAGATCCATCCCCTTTGGCCTTTAATCCAAAATTTGGAGAAGGAACAAGGAAAATTAGGCATGCCTATAGATGAAATACCGCAGGACGTAAAACTTTCTACTCCTTCGAGGATTGAAGCTGCCATTCGTAAGAATGTTGAGTATTTGCGCGAGGTTGGCTTTTTACCAAAAACACATAAGTATTGATCTTGTTTATAGAATAGAGTTTAATAGTAATAATATATCATATCGAAGCTCAATCCGTGCCACAACTTATTTCACTGAAAACTTCGTTGCATACCTCCATACTCTGCCTTGATTCCTACACTCCCATAAGAGATTAGGAGGCTCACACATTCTGTGCAAGTCCAGAATCTATCCACCGTTAGCGCTCAGTTTACATTTCTTTAGTGTTTTTCATCCGTCCTAGAGACAGTGAAACAAAGACACCTACCAACTTGTATTTTCTGTCCTGTCATGCTGCTGTTCTTCGCGATGTCCACGAATGCTTGAGCACAATCTTCGATGTCCGTCTGTTTTTTTAAATTGAGTTTTTAGTAAACTCTCTCCTTGACCGATCATTCATCATACGAATATTAGTGGGGAAGAAAAGGAAGAGAGAGTAAGTTGGAAATAGGGAAATGCTTACCACCCGTTTCAAATATGCTTTATCCTTCAGTTTCTCCTGATCTTCCTCCGAATATGTCCTCCCCTGTGTAATTCTAGTGTCAGATTGATTGCGGCCGTCATTAGTCAAAGGTAACACTTGTGATGACTCCTGCGTCTAATGTCTCCCACAAGAACACTGCTCATAAACCGGGATTCACGCCAAAACTACCCGCCTTGATTAGGAGAAACATAGAGGAAGATTATGACATACCCATTCTGTAAGTACCAAACCCGGCAACACGGCATTAACTCTTACTTTTGGTCCCTGGGTAGCAGCCAAGCATTTCATCAAATGTAATTGTGCGGCTTTTGTCACGGAATATGGCATGCAACCTGTTTTCAACTCATCAGCCTGGTCTCTAGAGATTGGATCTTACCTCTAGATGATCATATGAGACGAAGCAAAGAAAAAAACTATAAGACTTACTGCCCCCAGTAATGACCCCCGCAATACTGCTCGTCATGATGAATACTCCTCCCTCATCGTTCGCCTGAAATGTAGACAACGCCTCTTTCAACAAGATAGACTGAGCCACCACATTCGTAGCATAGCATTTTTGCCAGTCATCTGGGTTAGGAGCTGAGAGATCGGAGAAAGTCGAGAACCGTGTATAGCCCTTAGTTGTTAGAATCGCCCCTCTGAGTTGGGCAAGGTGGACGAAGAAGATTCGTGTACTTACAGCATTTGATATGATGATGTCCAGCCCTCCAAACTCCTTGATTGTTTCCTTCACCACAGAAATGCAATCGGATTCTTGACTCATATCCTACCACCAGCTTTGTCATTAGCCTCATTTATCAAATTTCATCTCATGTCTTTCACTACCATCCCCTCATTTGTCACTTTACTGAAGGCCACTTCTTCTTATTCTACTTCCCCTCTTCGACACCCAAAAGAAAATGAACCCACACCCATCAAACAAATGACCTTAACCCCCCACTCCCTCTCCATTCTCTCCCTCATTTCCTGCGCCTTCTCCCCACTAGAAACATAGTTAATAGCAACATTACAACCCTCCGCCGCAAATTTAAGAGAGATGACTTCGCCTAATCCTCTTTTTCAGCCACGAATTAGTATACAGTCATACCAGCATACAGCGTATTGTGTATTTCAGTGACGCTACAAAGATAACAGATCAAGCGTTGATGATGGAATGATTGTGGGGAAATGCGGGGTTCACTCACCGGGTTCCACCTGTTACGAGAACGTTTCTGTTGGTGAGTTTGTAGGGCATCTTTGCTATCTTTGCCTGGATTCTTTGGCTCTAATCGAATTGGATGGTTAAAGATGAGGTGAGAATGTTTGCGTGGGATTCACACTCACTCTCAAGATTGGTCGGATGGATGGTGGAAGTAAGAGGTGAGTGAGCACTAGGTATTCATCGGATGTTCCGTGCCGTTGTCCTTATCGGTATGACAACTCCGTACGATATCGGGAAAGACGAACCCCACGCATGACGCACATATGCCACTATCGTAGGACCCGAGGTGTAGTTACGCTATCTGGGACTGTCACAACTCTTCATCATGTTGAGAAGTGATTAATGCGTACATTCTTGGTTTGGTTAATTGTATCATAACATCAACATAAATAATCATCACACAAATCAAGAACGAGAGATTTACTGGGCAATCCTTCTATGCCTTTGGTAGTAGCTAAATAGAAGCTCTGATAATACATCTGGACTTATAAACCGGTGCCAGCTCAAACTAACATTTCATTCAATTCATATCCCTCGTATCCCTGCACTCCATCCGTAAAGAGAGAAGATTGCAATTGTATCCATCCGCCGACAATTAAACATCATCAAGTCCTCATACAGATGACATTTATGTAATAAGTTCATGCCATATCCAGCCCATCAAGATCCAAATATTACTTTACTTGGTCTTGACATCCTCATCAACACTGCTACTCTCTGAACTGTTTGTGTTGGAACGAGTAGTCTCTGGAAGTTCTTCCATCAAGGCACCATGGATGTTTTCCTCGAAAACTGGCTCGGTTTCAATCTGTTCGAATTTGGTCTTGAAGTCTTTGAGACCGGCAGTATAAGAGCTACTGTTGGAACGACGACGAGCATTGGCCATATTGAAACCCTCATCTTGGACTTCTTCACCATTCACACCCCTGTATTTTGTACGTTAGTCGAGGAAGTTGGAGTTATCAAAGAGGAATGGAACTAAGACGATAAGGTGAGAATTAAAAGGAGTACTGTACCATCCGCCCTTTCCAGCACCGTTCTTCTTGGCTTTCTTTGGATCGGCATCAATATGACCTGACTTTGCGAAATAACGAGGCAAATGCTCTTGTGGAAGAGCGGTACCATCGGCAAGGCCAGCATGGTCGCGATCATTGTACTTGTGTGATTTGCCCACTGGAAGAGATTGATACATTAGCATATGTTTGTAAGAGTACATTGATTTTATCATGTAAAAGTTCCATCGAGAAAGTCGATAGTTTGGTTGGAGGGACAAGTGTGATAGTACGACCCATTAAGGCGGGGTATAAACAAAGCGACGTCAGGTCCAACTTACTGTTGAATGATTGCAGGTAGTGTTTGAAGAGGGACAGAATAAGATAGATTGATGGTATTCGAAAGGTAGAGGAGGTTGCTTGATGAAGATTGATTGAAGGGTTGAAAAAGTCAATGGATTTCTGAATGTGTTGTGAATAGTGGGAAGATGAATTGATGATTCTTTAAGAGGTTGAGGTTTGGGTGAGTGTACCAAGAGAGGTTAAGGTTCACAATGCAATATTCGGTTAGATCATCCCTTTCTCAATTCCATTGAAGTATCACGCGACCTACTTTTGGGTAATCTGGTACCCTCTAGAAGTCTGAGCCTCTTCATTAGTTGGTTTTTGATATACAAGTTCCACATATTCACAAGTGACAAGTGCATTTCAATGGATTTTGCGGTGTCCTCTACTACGTAGCTATGTGGGTATGGTATCATTGGTATGTTGATACCATTTGTACATGATTATCTGGCCATTTGATAGGTTCAAGTCATGTCAAGTCATGTCAAGTCATGTCACATCATGCTTTCTTTGCGTCATAATCACAGAGTATTCGTATGTTTATAAATCATCTGTCTAACGTGTACTCATACCTGCTCAAGAACAGCTCATTCAAGTCATAACTCAATCACGGTTATCTGTGTTCACTGCCAATGACCAAAACTACCTACCTATTAGTATCTAACAGTACGCACGCATAGAACTGAATTGAATACTCACTACCTCCGACAATGAATGTTTTCTCTTGATGTGATCCTGTGAAACACAGTCCATCCAATTGATTCAACGATGTACGAGTTTCTTTGTTTTACCCATTCCCCTCGGCTGGGCTGGAAGTTTTCCATTTCTTTACCTCCTCTTCTCTTCTCTTCTCTTCTCCTCTCTCTTCTCTTCTCCTCTCTCTTTGGTGAGCTTTCACTCAAAACATGTCATTTGAGTGGTACGTACCAAAGAAATCATTCGATTGGAATCCACCCTAGTAAATGCGGGGAATATCAAGCTAATGAGAAGCTGGCTCGGTAGGGAAGCGGCAGGGAAATGCTAGCGGCCCATGGCGGTGGTGCGGCAATTAGTCACGCATGGGTCGACCAATGATATGACATGCGTCTGATGAATAATCATTGACCAATGATATACTGTTCTGGTGGATTTAAAATACCCTTTGCAGCAATTTTTAATCGTCAGCCAATCACAATTCGTCAATTCCAATAACCATAGAAGAATCTCCCTTTCTCTCAATTGCCAGTGGTCGAAAAGATTGCTTAATAATTAAATTTCAAGAATTATCAAGAATTAACATCTCCGAAACCCTTTGACAAACCTGATAAGAAATAATATTGACCCAGCACCAGTACATAAGAAAGATACTGTGAAAATTCTATCCTGCTGATATTCCCTTTTTTTCCAGTTCCTGTCGTTTTCTTTGAGCATTTATTTTGTTGCCAAACTCGACACGATTAGCACAATACTCAATAAATTTACTACCAAAGTAAAGGGAGCGTTTAATCGCCACCAACGACCCCGCCATGGCCCCCTCTGTCACTATTGACAATTCCTCCGATTTCAGTCCGATAACCACAAACTTCAAGACGACTTCATTCAATCCTCGCACACTACTCCTTGCTCCTCCCTCCATCGCTAGTCATGAAGAAAAATTAAGAAATGTTCTTGCTACCCATGATAGAACTGTTACCGATTTGCAGATGCTGGATCGTCTCTCTGCAGGATTAGTCACACTCCCAGAATCAACCTACGATTTAGTCCTCATACTCACCGATGCCGATGGTACACGAGTCGAATCTAAAGGATTATTAACAAGAGATGTGTTTGGAAAAATTACACAAGCTTTGAAGGCAGGTGCAAAGTTGCAGGCACAGGATGGTACTTTTGGACAAGAAACCGATGGCGCAGAATATCAAGAGGCTATTTTGTCTGGCTTGGTAGCAGAAGGAGGGGTAATGCTCAAACCCGATTATAGCGCGAGTATTGCGGTTCCTCTACGACTTCGCAGAAAGGACAATAGCAAGAATGCAGCTGTTTCAAGCGCTGGCCCTGCAGTTTCAACGGCTGCAGTACCACTACATGGCAAGAGAAAGAGTGTAGACATGACAGATGATGTGCCAGAGAAGGATGTACCAAAGGTTGACTCGCCAAAGAACGATGCGCCAAAGGGAGTTGGCTTCATTGATTTCAGTGATGACTTTGATGCGGAGGACGATGACGATGAATTAATTGATGAAGATACTCTTCTCACTGAAGAAGATATGAAGAAACCTCTTGCTATTCGTGGGTAATTGATGTATCCTGTTTTGAAGTGTTACTAATATCATACAGCTCCTGAGTGTGCACCAAGAGCTGGAAAGCGTCGTCGCGCATGTAAGGATTGCACATGTGGCCTTGCCGAAAAGATTGCAAAGGAAGATGCAGAGAAACGAGCCACCGCCGATAGCCAACTCCAAGCCCTTAAGCTTGATGCAGATGATCTAGCTGAAGTAGATTTCACAGTCCAAGGTAAAGTTGGATCTTGTGGAAACTGCAGCTTAGGTGATGCATTCCGTTGTGATGGCTGTCCTTACATCGGTATGCCTGCTTTCAAGCCAGGTGAGGAGGTTCGACTTCTCAACAATGATGTTCAATTGTAGACACTTTTACTTCATTCGAGGAACTGGGTTATGGCGTCGTATCATTACGGGTGGAGTTGGGTATTGGACTCGGAGTCATGCATAGAGTGATATACACATTGTGGGGCATAATGGCATTCGTGTTTTGATGCGGTATGGAAGGGAATGGATCGGTATGTTATGGTATGGTATCATATATATGGACTAAGGTATCTGATTTGTTGCTGAAGGCCATGCAACATAGGAAAAGCTCAACGACAGACGGATCATCTATGAAGATCCAAGTCACATCATATGAATAAGATAGATTAACTGCATACTTGAGAATACCTGATCATGTTCATGCACCAATACTTGTGAAACGTTATCTCTCCTCCTGTAATGAATTCTTTTCCAGCTGCTGACAGTCTCAGTATGCTTTTGGTTCAGACGAGGTCATGTTTAGTGAGGAAGAGTGATCCACCAACCTCCCAACCTGTACTTTGCAGGTCAATGGCAGTGCTTAGAACTTAATAAATAGATATTGATCTTTCTTTGCAGACCTCTTTATAAGCCCCTCAATCTCCTTCCCTCATGAAAACTCGGATTGCGCGATCAGATCTCCTCACTTTCCCCACTTCATTAGTACATCGATCACCATTCCTTATCAACCAACACCAACACATCATATCACATCACGTAACATAACATCGCAGTCACATCTCACATTGTTCTTTACGATAGATCTACACACCGCTATATATACCATCTTATCTCGGTGTACTTAGTACGCTTAGCAGGCTTAACATGAGTAGTTCGGATAATCTCCATAAGCTGCGAGCTCGGCCAACGAGAGGAGTGGGGTTCATAGTGTTCCACTTCCCCGCTTGACCCCTCAAGTCCTCTGTTCCCCCTCATTCACATCGGGTAAGAGGACTGGCTTTTCGAAAGATGATCGATATACTTTTTCACTTGTACGTCAAGCTTTACATGATGTGATTTTTGTGATGGATAACGGTATAGGCTACCGATACTCGATAATTACGACCAGTGACGGACTCAAATAAGGCACAGCTTGGTGCAGGAGAAAAATAAGAGTCTGGGTGGATTTAACAACTTGGTATTTAGTTCGGATATTCCGACATCTTCCTGTTGTGGTCCCAAACTTCTTATTTTTCGCCTGTTATTCGTTTGGTAATAGGACTAGTGTTCAACAATTTTCCAGAGAGGGGGGTCTACCCCTCAGTAGTTATGCAACAGAAAGATAAGAGGATATTTGTATTGTGTTGATAGGTGAGTGGTGAAGCGTTTAGGGGATGATCCCGGTGCTTGAGGGGAAGCGAAGATGTCTAGAACCGAAAGGCCGGAGTACCCCTCTTGTAGATGTGCAACATTTTTTTCTTCCTGTGTTGGTATGTTCCGTGAGCTTCATCTGAAAATTGTTGACTGCTCAAGCCCCACTCCATTCAGTCAAAAACTCATGAAGATCTCTGGATGTTTGATACCTTTTCCTTGAAGGAAAGTGACTATTCAAGAGGTTCTACTCCTCTTGGGAAGACTAAGTGGAAGGCTTGTGTATCTACAACCATCTTGGCAATGAGGAGTCGAGTGATGATCCTTTCTCAGTCATACTTAGTACACAGTATTTAGTGATCTGTCACATTGGCAATACGCATGTCATGCTATCGTCTCTTTGGTCAACACTATTTAGGTTTCTGCAGCCCGGGTTCTATAAAACTGAGCGGGATGTTTTAAAGATCCGAAAAGTATATTCAAACTATCTGAGATGTGGACTTTGAGGTTTATCGATGAATCTGTACTCTATCACATTAACATTCCAGTGATATCGTACTACTATCTGGTTATGCAGAGTCAAGCATGATACTTTCTCCATGATGCCAGGTGATCAAAGAGCAGGTTTCAGGAAGTTTTAGAGTTTAAATATCATCACATTATATGCTCTATTTGGGTTGAAAGCTCTCTCACGATTCAGCCAATCTCAACTCTTCAGCCTTTGAACATGTGATAAAATGATTATCCTATAACCCATCAAGGTTCTTCAAGAGTCCAGACCTTCTCAGTTCTTCATTTCATGAGGGATAACGTTCAGACGACAAAGAAAGTTAGAAGCATGAGCTAGAAAATTTCAAGAGAGACATATAAAGCAGCTATAGGAGAAAAGAACCCGACAAGATAGTTCTTGTCAACGCTTCTAAAAGTCTTGCTTGGCAATCTATACAAGACAGTTCATCCCGATCGACATGAACCTAGGCAGAAGAGTCTCGAGAATTTTTCTTCATCCCCCTCTTTTACCCCTCTTCAGATATGCAACAGGAAAGTTTATGATGGCGCAATATCCTATCAAGATTTAATCTCATACTGGTATCTCTACAGATAGACACCAAGACTTGTGGGTTTCTTCCGCGCTTTTATACTTGGAAGCGTATGGCACGATTAGTATTTGCTTCGTGGATATAGCGTCTTCAACGTACGAGGTAGTTATCATTAGATGATAATGTGATAATGTGAGATTGAACTCTCCTGCGGACTGCAAACATCAACCCATACCAGTTTTCATATACAAAATAGGAAGTTTTGCTCCGTAGCATTTGCTTTATTAGGCGCCAATATGATGAGGAGGTTTCATCCGAAAATAGATACTTGAGAGAGGAAGCCATATTCACCGATCCCCAGGCGTCTAACACCTTTCTTCCGTTTTTGTTACCGCAATGGAAATACTACAATAGTATAGTTCAGTATGA